ACTTAAAAAATTGCCTGTTCTAAGTAATTGTCTTAAACTCTAACGCTTTAAAATTAATGTAACAGTCAAACTGCATTTCTTAGCGAGGTAACTAATTAAAAAAAATTATGATTTTTTTACAAATGAGTTCAGAGTATGCTAATTTAMCGTGTGTCTACAAAGTGGAATATAATGAACTATCGAAATATAACTGTTCCGTCAAAGCACACAACTGAAAAATACAGACTACTATCCAAAAACAAGGCATTTTCTAACAATAACAGTTACGATAGACAACTGTTTAGAAATATAACTCTAATTAGCATACTCAGACATTATTAGCATAGTAAAGTCCGGTATGCGAATTCGCGCTATAGTTATCGTTAGTTTTGGGAGTAGTAAATGATACATTTCGACATTTCGTTCAATTTGTTGCGTGCGTGCTAAAGTGCATGTACAAACATTGAAGCATAAAATTTAGGCAACTATCATGCAAGTTGAACAGCGTCAGTGCAGTATTAAGACTGAGTTGCAAAACATTACTTCGGCTTGGAGTTTCCAGCAATCGCGTGCCGCGATTATTTGCCTCTTTACTCTCAGCACTGGAAAAAGTCGCTCGCTTTAAAGGTTGTAAATTTGATGTAAATATGATGTAAGTGTCCAAAATTTCTGTGAATTTTATGGAAATCATTTACATCAACTTTACAAAGCACGCGATTTTTTCCAGTGCAACCCCCCCCCCCCCCCCTCCCTCCTGATAAATATTTCTCCCTAAAGGTTAATCATGATTTGCCATGTTTACTGATGATGGTATAGAGCGGATTTCGTATGAGTGGGAAACGGACGGTACTGTACTGTGACCGTAATCGTACTGTAACCAAATTCTAGTGCCCCATTGATTCACCAAAAATGTGAAGGCCAGGTCCGTTAACTGTGCGGTAACGGTGTCCCACTCATACGAAATCCGCTCTATATGATCAGTGATGGTGGACCAAATTTTGTTTTTCATTTTGAAAAGAAAACAATAGTCTCTCTTTAGAGTCTCTTTAGTAGCTCGATCGATGGACGCAATTGATGTTTGTAAGAATGGCAAATTATCTCCAAAGAGGTTATAAGAGACCATGGCATCATCAGGTCCCAGGCTCCAAGCTCGGTTATTGCATACGTATTACATATCTTTTTCTAAACGTCTAGCGCTCCGCACAGTTACTAAAAATAGATACATTAATATGCGACCCCCTATGGACTCAGACATTGAACCCAAACACGCCATACAAACACACCAAAAAAATATTGATTTCATCGAGAAATATCTTCAATTATATTCGTACTAGAAGCTTTTAAGAGCGACTGTCCATAGAAGTCGAGCAAAATCGACCGGCCACAGTCAAAATTTCAAATTCCTTGAAACTTAGTTTCTGGACACCTGTTTCTGAGCCTACTAACGTGGTCAAAATCGCTTTTTTTATTTACGTTGAGAAATTTGAGTTGAAAATTGGATTTACCCCGATTTGGTCTAAAATTAGCATATGAGAAAATATTTTAAAAGTTATTTCTTCAATCAATTTAAATATTTTTGAGCAATTTCCTACAAACTGGAGTATTCCTATACACTGCTTT